AAGAGACAGTCTGTTGGCTTGAGGCTACTACTTGCACAAGGAAGGACGACCACGATTTACTTGAGCGCGGCGGCTGTCGTGAAGGTTCGTGTGCTTGAGCCATCCCGGAGAACAAGACCTGTGAAACTTGAGATCCTAGAACATAATTAAATTCTTTGATGGTCACCATGTGCAGGACACGACAGCGTTCCTCACATAGTCGGACCTCGGATATAACAGACTGATACCAGACTGCTCGCATATACTGTCCATGCCCAGCTTGGCGCATTCCGAAGTCAACGATTTTGTTTCTTTTCCAGTACCCCTACTATGAAGTGTTTGGAAATTAGATTTGGCAGTTTGTGATCTGTGAAAAATTTGTGATCTAATGTAATCTATGAAAAAAACTAGCATAGCGAGTTGGTCGTCGAAGAAAACTTTGTACCTTCATTTCGTGGTGATTCACCGCTTGACTGAAATAGATGATTTTGACAATGAAACATCCCGCTTCGTGGACGTATTAAAGAACTTCAGATTTCTTACACTGTCCGATTTTTTCTCAATGTCCGACACTTTGACATCGTTCGTTGCCCTTTTTTCGTCCTTACGCGGACTTCCCCTCAAGCCTTTGGCATCGTTCTGTCTTTTGTGCTTCTTGCGCTGACTGTCGTGACGATGATGCCCTTCATTGTCGCACTTATGATGAGACACTGAAGAGTAGGATCAAGAAATGAATAGTATAGAGCAAAGAAAAGCAGAATGGCTAGTGAATCACTGGATATAGAAACCTTCGCGGTTTTCTTGCTCATGTTATTCATGGCTACTTCACTACTTTCTATTGGCGCCCGACCTTCCTATGATAGGCAGAAAAGGAAGAGAGGCAGAGGCGATGGGAGCGGCACCGTTTGAAGGCACAACGCACGCTTAGCTGCGAGGTCATCAGAATGGCTGAGGCGAGAAGGCATCCCCGCTGCACGCGCTAATTACGAAGGCTGGAGTAGAGAACTGTGCCTTGGAACTTGCGACAGCATAGGCGTTGGAGGTGTGGGCGCCCTCGTCAACACGCACTTGGCCATGAACCTCGATTCGTACGGAAATCTGACGACCCGAATCGGACGTTTGCGATTGAGAAGAAGTGGTTCTAACTCCAGCCTTGACAGTCTTTGTCGCCTACGCGCCAACATCAAGCTACGGTGAGGATGAGCTTGAAGCTTTCGATATGGAATTGGAGAATTTCTGCAAGGAAAACCGCATCTTCTTTAACGTCATCGTCGGTGATTTCAACGCAAAAGTCGGCCGAGGAGATCGGCAAAAGAACTTCACACAGGAACTCACGGAACAGAGTGGAATGAGCAGGGTGAAAGGCTGTCTGAGTTTATCATGTCGACCCACACCATCCATGGTAACTCGCAGTTCCAGAAGCCCTACTCTCTACGCTGGACATGGGAGTCTCCTGGTGGACAATTCCATAATGAGATCGACCACATCATCTTCAATCGAAGGTTTTGCCTGACCGATGTCGCTGTTGTTCCTAAGTTCTACACGGGATCCGACCACCGTCTCCTTGCGCGAGATTCCGCATGTTCGATGCGAGGAGAGAGAGTCGCTTCAAGAGCGAAGCCTCAAGACCGTCATCAATTGATCACTTCACTTCCCTCGCTGAGTTCTGGGAAGATTCCGTCGTCAGCAACATCGACCAGGAGTACAAACGGCTTGTCGAACATCTTCACGTCTGCGCTAGAGTTACAAGATCACTAAAAAGCGTTTATCCCTGGGAGCTCTTGAGCTGATTCGCCAACGTGGAGCCGCACGAATCGCAACCAATCACCAGTTACGCCTCAGCTTGCGAAGCTATGCTGTGAAGCGAGCGATGAAAGGAGACCGCGAAGAAGGAAAAGCAGCAGTACTGGTGGAAGCCGCAGAGGCTGGGAAGAGCATACGCAACGCCCGCCGCGACTTCGCCAACTGTAAGACCAAGATGACCGCCCTCCGACGTCCGGATGGAACAATCACCGCATCCAGAAGGGCAATGGAAAAGGTCGTCAACCTTGAAGCAGGATCGATGCGCCGTCTCCTCGCAGTTCTCCCTTCCGAAGTCCGACACGCCATCTCGTCGGTGAAGAATCGTACGGCACCCGGTCCCGACAGGATCAGACCCGAACATCTGAAGAATCTTCCGCCAGTTCTCGTCAAAACTCTGGCTCGACTCTTCACGCGCTACCTGTCGGAATGCAAGGTACCCACCTCGGAAAATATCGAAAGTGAAATTGCTGTATGTAAGATTTTTACCATCTTCTCGCGTGAGCCGTGGCGTGTTCCCAGAGACAGGTGACATTGATGTATTAGGACTCTTGTTGATTGTCGCGGAAGAAGAAATAGCCTAGAAATAGCAGTTCAGTGTAGAAGAAGAATAGAAGTGTCGAAGAAATAATTATCTCGCGAAGGAAATAGAAAAAAACTTGAGGTTTTAAGAAAAATAAGTTCCGCCAAATCGCCTTCAAACTAAACCTGAGACCGAAAGTTCCAAGCGCAGTGGTAACTTTGAGACAGACTGAAAGAGCCCAAAGAATCCGCGTCGCATTCACCGTGACGCTAAGCACTGTGCGTTGTACCTTCGAAGCTGTACGCCACGTTGTAGGGTCAACCGTCTGAGCGACAGGGGTGTTGAATTTTATTGCGGCGAAGGACTTTGCGAAGCAGACTTAAGGTTGTGTATGCTGACGAGTGACAAGATGTGTGAATTATAGCAGACGGAGCGGCTGAAGGAGAAACTGGCAATTATCGCACATATTAGGTTGTCGCATAAGTTCTTATACACGTGTTTGATCCTCTCCTATTTCGTTCGCATGGATGTTGGTATTACGTCATCACGTGTACATTATACTCTTTCATTACACTAGCTATCACTCACCGAGCTTGCATTTGCAGTACACAATGTCGCACAATTACCACTGTGACAGAATGTACCTGCGCCACTGCCTGGTTTTGCTTAAAAAGAAGCTTCGCGTTCTCAACTCGATGATCACTGGAGATGAGAAGTGGGTCCTCTACGATAACCCTGTGAGGGAGCAGGAGTGGGTCGACAAAGGAGAACAGCCAGAAGCCACCTCAAAGGCCGACCTTCACACCAAAATGGTTCCCCTGTTCTGTTGGTGGTCCAGAAGAGGCATGGAGGGAGCTGCTGGAGAAGGGACAGACGATTGATGCTTCCACATACGTGACCCAGCTGCGGAAATTGAAAGATCACGTCGACCGTACTCGTGGAAGGAATGCGGAAATCTACTTCCACCATGACAACGCCCGACCTCACACTGCAAAGGCGACCCAGGCCGAGCTGGAGAAGTACGGATGGCTGATGGTCGCCCACCCTCCCTACAGCCCTGACCTCGCTCCTTCTGACTACTGGCTGTTCAGCCACCTGCAGCGCTCTCTGGACGGAAAAAAGTTCGAAACAAAGGATCAGGTCAGAAAGGCACTCGACGACTTCTTCAAGTCCCAGCCCCCGTCGTTCTGGAAGGAAGGAATCGACAAGCTGCCTGAGCGCTGGCGTCGAGTAGTGGATGGTGATGATGCATACCTCTAATCTTCAGGTTGGTTCGCTATTGAGATATTTACGAAAAAGTCGTGTATAAGAACTTATGCGACAACCTAATACACCAGAAGTGCTAGGTGAAAACGACGCATGAACTGCTGAATGGCAACTAAATACTCCATTTGTCTTTGGCAATGAAGTAATGTACTTAACACCGGCGATAAGATTGGCTAGCTGTAGTCAGCTTGGAAAGTTGGTCAAGGGTGCACGTGCTTACTTGCGTTCTTGACTTCTACTAAGTCGACGGGGCGATTTTCCGCTAGCGATGTGGGATAATTAGCCAGAAGGTTTCCACTACTGGACTGAAGCATCACAATGCCCATTGAAGCTGCCAGGTGTAAGGCGGCGTTCATGCTTTGCGGCAGCGTCCACCGGCGACCAATAGCGTCCATTAGCTTACGGCAGCATCAGCGACTGCGAAGTATACAGGGGGCGAAAAAAAGGCTTTTTCTCTTCCTCGACTTTCGTGGGGCTATAAGTTACAATTGAATTCCTATCGGACATTTCTACATCATATTAAAGAGCATATTAAATACTATCATGATACTCCGCCACAGCCTTCTGGAGGAGCGCCATCGAGAGATTCTGCCACGCGACCGTCAGTGGGTGCGTGAGTTCAGCGAGATCGTTGATTTCTCCGCCACTGTAGACCACCCTATTGAACTCCGCCCGAACAGGTAATTGAGGGGGTTTAGGTCAGGTTACCTGCCTAGACATTCCACCTTCTTCATCAGGTTACCTGCTTAGATATTCCACCTTCTTCAGGTACTCAACGCCCTTCCATTCCAAGTAGGCAAGAGTTTTCCCAACGCCCTTTGATTCCATGTGGTGTCACCCAATCCTGTAGCAGTACAAAGTTTCCAAGAAGGTACGGGCGACGACATGTGGGGAGGATATTCTTCTTGAGTTGCTCGATGTAACCGCCAGCGCTCACCTTTAGTCCGGGGCCCACGAAGAAAATATCGGTCTCTCCATTCCAGGTACGTCCGGTCCCCACCATCAACTGGTGCTTTGGGTGACTCCATACTAGAAGTTTCGCAGCTGTTCGGAGGTGACATGAATTCCGAAGGTCTTCTCCAGTCAGGTTGCGACTGGAGATGACTTCATATTTTGGTGTACATGAAGGTGATGGGCCAGCTCCTGCTTATAGAGGAACATCTTGGGTATCTTCCGCCCTGGTACTCGTATCCACGTCCTCTGTCTGGGCTGCGAAAACTGCTGATATGTGACTCGGTCGAAATGTTTTTTTGGCCCCTCCTGTAGATGTCAATCTAGCGTCTGCCAGCGCCCACCAGTGACCAGCAGCGTCTCGAGGGCTAGGGAAGTATCGGTACCGATCTAGTCTGCCAATCTGCCAGCGTTTATCAGCGACCAGCAGCAGACTGCTAGTAGAAAGTATGGGAATAAAAGAGGGTATCAGCAGTCTGATCTTCCCATACTCGACCTGCTGTCTTCTGTCCTCCTATCGCCCCATATCCATCACTATCGGACGCTACCGGTCGCTGGTAGATGCTGGTAGATGCTGGCAGACGCCATATCGATATCTACTTTTCTAGTCGCTGACGCTGCCGGACGCTCGGAACGCTGGTGTACGCTATTGGTCGCTTGTGGAGCCTGCCGCAAAGTATGAACGCAGCCTAAGAGACTGGAAGAAACTGAGTCTCGATCCATTCTCAGCGACCACAACAACACCGAAGACCCAGAAAACGATATGCAGCACTTGCGAAGGCACACGGGAATAGCTTTTGCCTCTGTTGCGATCAACACCCACAACATCAACTCAAGCTTCTTCGAGCTTCCAGAGCAGCGAAGTCGAGTGTACAGGAGGGGAGACCCTTCAAAAAAAAGACACTTTGGCCGAGTCACATATCAGCAAAGTTTTCGCAGCCCAGACAGAGGACGTGGATACGAGTACCAGGGCGGAAGATACCCAAGATGTTCCTCGATAAGCAGGAGGCTCTCGCCATCACCTTCATGTACACCAAAATATGAAGTCATCTCCAATCGCAGCCTGACTGGAGAAGGCCTGGAATTCACGTCACCTCCAAACAGCTGCGAAACTTCTTGTATGGAGTCACCCATGGACAGCTACCTGGAGACCAGTACTCTTGATCTGGAAGACCTCCAACATCGAGCAGCTCCGACAACGTCGCTACGGTCCAGGATATCATCTTCACCGCAGTCGCCAAGGCGCGGGTTGGTGGTATGGACCGGAAGTTCCTGGAATGTGAAGACCGATATATTTTCTTCGTGGACCCCGGACTGAAAGTGAACGCTGACGGTTACATCGACCAACTCGTGGAGAATATCCTGCCTTCATGTCATCGCCTGTACCTTCTTGGAAACTTCGTACTGCTACAGGATTGGGTGCCTCCACACGGAATCGAAGGGCGTTGGAAAAACTCTCGCCTACTTGGAATGGAAGGGCGTTGAGTACCTGAAGAAGACGGAATATCTAAGTGTGTCACCTGACCTGAACCCCCTCAATTACCCGGTTCGGGCGGAGCTCAACAGGGTGGTCTACAGTGGCGGAGAAATCAACGATCTCGCTGAACTCAGGTACCGAATCACGGTCGCGTGGCAGAATCTCTCGATGGCGCTCGTCCAGAAGGCTGTGGCGGAGTATCATGATAGTATACAATATGCTGTTGAATATGGTGGTAGAAATGTCCGATCAGAATTTAATAAAGTGTAACTTATAGCGCCTCGAATGTCAAGGAAGAAAAGTGACTTTTTTGGCCCCTGCATACCACTAGGGTTGATCAATAATGCATCCCTCCAACGGTTCACTGTAAAAAAGCGGTGTGCTAAATCTTCCATTCCGTAATTATGCGCTGCGACCGCGTAATGCACGTGCGGTGACGCACACTTGTCTCGAATATTTTTACGATATACAGGTGCTCGACAAACTCAGGAAAGCGTAATATGAGTTTTTTTTAAGGGATTCATGGATGGTGCCATGAGAAGCTCTCAAACGTAGAAGTTCACTAACAATATGCAGAAAAGCCAAACGGTGAAGAGAACGTAGAAACAGAGCCGTGGTTCCTGTTGTGAGGAACCACGGCTCTGTTTCTACGATCTCTTCACCGTCTTGTTGCAATGCAGAAAATAGTGCGCATAGGCAAAGGAAGGAGAGTCTCAGCAGAGTTCTCCTGCGCAACTCAAATACTACTTTCCCCCATGTAAGTTTGAGGTGTGTCGCTAATAAGTTCAAAAGCTGCAAGAGATTAACAAGATCTCGAAGACGAGATTGCAAGATTATTAACGAGATGGAGTGAGTGCTACAGGGAAGAGGAAGTATATCGGGCACTTTGTTTTTGAGACCCTGCACATTGGTGCGACAATCGCCAAATGCAAATACAATGAAGCGTGGAGTAAATTGCCATTGGCCGATTCATCAGACATAAATGAACCAACCCTCCATGTGATATCTTTGGCTTCTTCGACACAATGATAAGTAATTCATCTTACCCGTGTTACTTAAGTGACTCTCGTCTCGTCGAAGAGGTGTCGATCTATTTGTGCTTATGCTGATCTAAATGATCTACAATAGGTCTGTGCTTATGAAAGATACATATTTTTTTTTTGCTTCGATGCATTACTACGAGATAACGCGAAACTCCTAGATGTGGCGACGTTTCTCATGTCTTTCAGCGGGGGGAGGCTGAATTTAGTGGAATGGATACAAGGTCGCTAGATTCCGCTCCACCTGAGGTGTCGACGAGGAGTGGGACCCCGCAGACTTCAAACACTGAATTATGGAGCGATGCTATGTTATGCTCCTCCTCACGCTTGAACTTCACCTTTTCTTCGCTTCACGAAAAGCGTTCAATTGAACTGGCAGAGTTTGCGTGATCTTCCATCTGCACACTATGGATGGAGCGTGTAAACTAAACGATTTCCCTATCGCTCGGTGCTCCTTCGCTTTTACAGCAGCGCACGAGTGGATGCAGATACAAGACGAGTTCTATGGTAGAGAATATCACGACAGCTATTTGCAAGCTATCTCACAGCTCGACATGGTAATTTTTATCAATATCGTCTATTTTTTTGTGATTTCTCGCTCGCAAGCCTTGCCACCTTTCCTGTAAGCAGCACTGTCCGAGGCAAGTGTATGGAATTCACGCGCATCTTACTCACTATACCTGGATCCAATTGCAAAGCTCTTCACTAAGGCTACTCACTATGCCTCGATCAAATTGGAAAAGTCTTCACTTGCCTCGATCAAATTGAGCTCTCCACTAAGGGCGATGGTCGCAAGAGATGATGCGAACTCAAAAAGCTTGCCAGCTTCCTTCTCAATTTCTCAGCTGGATGAGGTCTGATGATGGACACTTTGCGAGCCTTCCGCGATCCGGTTTGAACTTTGAATTTCTATAAGGCTTCTTCACAGGTTATATAGTAGTGATAGGCAGTTAAGTCGCCTATCACTACTACATAGCCTGTAAACAAGCTCTTATAGAAATCGTTGTGCTCTTCTCCCTCGCAGTCCGCTGACGTATAGACTTATATAATGGAGACCTGCACGTCTTTCGAGAGGTTAGCGTTGAGCAAGTCGATACGGTGCTCAGAGAAAGTTCATTCCCCTTGCGCTCGCAGAAGTCGGTCACACTGTAAAGCCCTCACTTCCTGACGTCGACTTACGCTTGCGGCATCCTAGAAATGTCGCTGCTCCTTCTATACATGTGCATGTCAGTGGTTCTTTCCTCTTTGCGCTTGCTAAGTTCGCATACATTGTATATAATTGAGCGTCATCAATAAGCGAAAAAAGCTGAGCCGCCGAACTGACACTTCTGCAGTTGTACGTGCAGCCGATCGTTTGGCTCACTCTTCGTCCGTCCTCAGTTTGCGTAGCTTGTGGTCCTGAGGGCTGTGTGCTAAATCAAGCGCTACACGACCGGGTAGTGACAGTCTGCAGAGGACTAAGGCAAATGTAAGAGGTGGTCGTATTATTTTTCGCTCCACATCATATCGGCGTTCCCGTATCTCAAGGAAAGCGCCGTCCAATCAAGAGCTTGAGCACTTTCGGTTCTTTGGTTACGGGAAACAGTATGGGGCTCCGACGTAACCAATCCTTGACAAGTAATCCTATCCCGTTCCAAGCTAGCAAGCTCGTATGTTCTCGGTGTCGTGAGGAGCTCACGATAGGTGCAGCTCGTATCAGATTGGAAGCAGAGGCATAAAATAATTGTAGGCAGTGTTAACAAGCACCGCTGCACTTATTGCTACGTATGTGTCAGTTAATCGTTGCGTACTTCAATATCTGTAGCGAGAGACAGGAGTAAAAATACTTGATGAAGCATCACCACAT